ATTAGGAACGGGATGTCACTTAAGCTCATATGTGAGTCAAGGCAGGTGAGCAAATACTTTTGGCAATATAGTGTATCAGTAAATACACCCGTCTGAACCGTCACCATGGTTACATTCCTGACAGCTGTAGTTCTGTATCAATAAAAAGCATTGCTGTCTAAACTGTCCTCCACCACGGTGTGACCCGCATTGATATCTAAAAGCAACAATAAGGATTTTTCCACAGCATTAAGCTAAACAAACCAGATAAGCTTTTACTGTTCAACACAAAGCAGTCTTTGTTAGTTTGGTAATGATTTCTCAGTGCTGGGTTTCTGCACAGGTTACACATATAAACCAAACAAAGTGAGGTAGGCATTAATATCACTATTATTAAGCATAACAGTTCATGTTAAAACAAACCCATCCCTTTACTAACTTCTAGCTAAATTTACTGACTTTTGTTTTACAAAATTTGCTTGTTTCTATATTTACCAAACATGCATACTTTAGAAAAGAACAAGTTACATCTCAGGTATTAACAGTTCCAATATAGATTTAGGACCTCGCCACAGCACAGAAAACCAACCCCTTAAACATTGTGGGCTTTAAAGCGTTCTTGAGGCTGGACATAAGGCAAGGCAAGGCAAGGCAAATTTATTTGTATAGCACAATTCAGCACAAAGACAATGCAAAGTGCTTTACATGATTAAAATACAGGAAGATAAAACAGAATCAAAGCAAGTAGGAAAAATAAATAAATAAAAAAAATTAAAAATGCAGAAAATAAGCATAACCATCACTCGTACCATTCTCCTTGAGAAAACTATGATCTACTGAAATAAAATCAGACTTCTCAGGTTATTCATCTGAAATCGGCCAAATCCCAGCCATCTCCTCTCCATTGGTGTCCCTCAGGGTTCCGCTCTTGGTCCTATCATGTTCACAATTTAGTTTTTGCTCATTTGCTTCTTAAATTCAACATCAATGTTCACCGATATGCTGACGATACCCAGCAATAAACCGCCACTAAACCCTCCTTTATCTCCTCTAGTTTTCAATTAACTTTCTAAAACTCATTGAGACCTAATCTATGCTACAGAGTCCTTCCAGTTTTACTCTCATCATCAACAACTCAACCAGTCTGGTTAGGAGTCTGGGTTTTTTTAAACCCACATCAACAGCACCATCCAGCCCGCCTACAGTTGGCTATTTACACTTATAGACTAGGAATAGCTCAGATTGCTGCTGCCTGATTCATCTCCAGAAGAACAACCGATACGTTTACCTGTATATGGACAACTTCTCTGGCCCTCTAGACATCCAGAATGTTTATTCTAGATATGAAGGATGTCATTTTGTTTGAAAATGTCATTTTGACAAGGAAAAAAAATTATTTTCAAATATCAGGAATACATATTCAGTCAAACTAATATATAACAAAACGGCCTGCCATAGATTGTTGTAAACATAAAAACATTATGGGGGATGTGGAGGCAAGCAGACATTTTTTGTCTTGTCTTTTAGGGTGCATGTGTTAGATGTATGTAAGGGCATGTGTGGGTGGAGCTGTAAGTCGGTGTTGCATGTGTCTGGAGCTGAATGATTGTCTAATGAATATCACTTGGATCGGCTCAGCTTTCTGTTGGTTTGTCTGATACAGAGAGAGGCTAAGGCAGAGTGCAAATATTTCTGTTGATTGCAAGTTTAAAGCCTATTAAGTCTGCAAGTCTATTTACTGTATAATGCTTCACAGGAAAATGGTTCAATAAACATCCCTAACTGAAGTAAAGCTTTATGTGTCATCCTTGGATTGAGCACGTTGAACATCCCTGCTCCCCTCTCTGCGACTAATTATTGGATGATAGTCACTTACTGGGGAAATTAGATTAGATGTGTCCATTTAGGTGAAATCATCTGGCAGCAGGTAAAGATAAACTATAAAAACATTGTTCTAACAGGTAGGACCTGTGCATCATCTCATGGGGTTCCTCTTCATGTAAATTCTGTCTTCTATCACACAGGCTTTTTCCGGCTGCTTCGGATGTTATATCCCAATAAATGGTCATTATTTGTGGTTATCAGTCCCACAGAATGGCTTCAGAGTTTGCCACTAGGCTCAGTAGGTTATTACAGAATGAATCCTAGTCCTGAGGTAATTAATTTTCCCCGCTGAATTCATTAATCTATGGTCAATTGATAAACTGCAGCGGTATCTTCACGGGTCTGCCTAAAAGGTGGATCAGACAAATGCAGCTGATCCAGAGTACTGTCTGCATCTACTGTCTACTATCAGTCTATAAATCACTGAATAGATCAGCACCTAATTACAGACTTGCTGTCAGTGGATCAACAGCCAGACTTCTTAGGTCTACTGTATCTACTCTACGCACACAGAAACTAGGGGTGGAACGGTTCACAAAATCCATGGTTTCGTGGTCATGGTTTTCGGTTCGGTTCGGTATATGTTGATTGTTACACCGAAATCC